AAATATGCCGCCACTCAAAGAACAGTTTCTATAGTGAAATTATGAAATGGGTTTCATAAACATCCAGCTAAGTAATTTAGGAGACTTAAGTTAGAAGTCTGAAGGATTCTTCCAAGCAACAAAACCATACTATACTGGTTTATGCTCTTTTGAAATAGGGATTTAATAATTACTCTCTGCAGGATCTGTTGGTTTTCATACTCACATGGTGCCTGATCTGCTCAGTGCCTTGGGTGCTACCAGAGTAAAAGTCGTAGTTACCTGAATGGGTCTTGCGTTCTGACACAGATTCAAATGGGGACCAATTTAAGTAAGAATATTAGGTAAGGACTTTGAATAACTTACGTGCCTCAGTCTACTTCTTTTGAATTTCTAATATGTTTTAATATATATCAGGTAATGTAAAGCTTTAGCGCTACTGAATATTAGGTGAGTTTGAATCCTATTTTGAAGGATATAGGTTAATTCTGGAAAGAAAAATAAGTTTGATAAGATAGCCTGCTCCCATATGTTTATGCTTTAAGACAGATTTCTTTAGATGAATATACAAATACTTCAAAATTTGAAAGTCACCTCAAGTAGGAATTAATTTAGACATATTTTAAAATAATTCAGTATTATTTGGCTGCTATACTTCAGAGATAGAATGGCAATATTTTTCAACATGATGGAGATTTGATACTGTTCGTTCTTTGTACACAGCTCATCCATATGAGGTCATGTATTGTGGATACCTGAGGGAACTGTCTGCGCACAATTCTTTTTTCACTGTTTCCTCCAGTACCACAGTCACACAGTATTCACTCTGAAAACATCAGTAATGCAATATTCAAATGACTCTTCTGCTTTTTTTTTGTGGATGGGGCATGTTTTCCCTTCAGTTCCCCTGACCTCCACTGACCCAAGGCCAAGCTCAAGGAGCTGTGCCTGAACCTGGGATTCCTGACAGCAGGACACTTGCGTGGTGACCAAGGTCATTCACAAGCACTGTATACCAGCAGTTGCTTTGGTAATCAACATTGCCTTTCAATAAACGGGTTAAAAGCTCTTGGAGTTCTCTGTCTTAAAAGAATCCTTGGAGATAAATATATTAAATATCGTGCCAAAAGTAGTGTGTTCCTAATCCCTGAGTGGCAGTTTTATAGAGCTTTGTAAGCACGGCAAAAAATACTGTGCTCACGTATCTTTCCCAACTTTGCCGCTGGTTTGTTTCTTCCTTTTATTGAAGATTTCCCCCTCTCTCTTCCATGCATGTAGTTAGGGATTTATTTCCCTGATGACTATGCATCAAAATGCTGATTAATTTTTATGAGTAATCTAGAGAGAAGAATCATAGGACATAAAGCTAAATCCTATAAAACTGAGAGAAATTACAAACTTGCTTCTGCTTGATAGAAAACTATAGCAGTAAAGGAAGTTCTTTAAAACGTAAGTTTGTTTTTGCAAAGTATACTTGTATAGCAAAGTATTAGACAAAAGTGAAACAGGCATTCTGACAAAAGTCTGTCTATAAAAGGAAGTGATGTTCCAGATTGAAGTGAAAGGAGAGGATGTAGGAAATCAAACAGCTTCAAAAGATTATTATTCTTTTTAAAGAGATACATGAAGATCTCAGAATAGGGAGACATTATAGCTTCTTTCAGTGGGGCTCTAGTGACTGGTTTGGGGCAGGGGGGCGGACAGTTCCTTTCTGGACACTTCAATACTGGGTATTTATGGAGTTAGGAGGAGTTCTGGAAAAAAATCACAGATAAGGAAATTTGACATGGAAAAAATAAGAGTGGGTTTAGCATTGATGAATATATAGAATTGAGAAAGAAGCCAAGTAGGAAAATGTAACAGTGTACATGTGGGATTCACAGGGAGTGTTGCGAGTGACCTTGAACAATTCAACATAGGCTTGAAGGAAATAGAATGAGAAAGCAAATAATGAGGCAAACGCAGAAAGGGAGCTGAAGATAAAAATATTTTGAAGCACAGATGTGAGACCGAAACTGGAAGACGCGTGTCTTATTAACAGCACCAATTAAAAGCTTAGCTGCAGCGCGTGGACAGCAGGGGTTAACCAATTCATGAACAAACTAGAGTGCGTGGACAGCTAGTGAATCTATATAAGCACAAACCTGTAAACAATAAAGGTCTTCGGTTTTACCCACGCCAGAGTCCGTGAATCAACCCCTACATGTACAGTTTCAAAAATGGAGTAATTACTAAGTGGAGAAACAAAAAAATGTGTGAAATAAAATGGATTATAACTCAGAGTAATGGGATGAAATAGAGAAAGGACATATTTGGTCTAAATGACAGGAAAGACTTCTTTGCCATGAGAGCTAATAGGTTGTGGCATGATCTCCCATGAGAAACAGAGAAAGTGAGAAGTGGGAAGTGCTTGGCACATTTAAAACTGGAGTAGCACTAACTAATATGCTGTAGCAAATAAATCAGCAACGTCACATAAATGTCTTTCTCACTTGTGTGCTGCGATGCCCGTATGCCAGTCATATGCAGAAATCCTCGTGTACATTTGCCTACGCTGGTTATGTGTATATGTTGATTACCAAGGAAAATGCACACTTGAAACAACAAAATCTCTCTTTACACTGGTGAAGTTTTAAGCTGAAGTGAAAACTGATGCATTATCAGGCCCCAGGCTTTGTCTGGGAGGTGCTGAACCACTCGGCAGCAGTGGTGGAGCAGTAGAGGAAGAGAAGAAAGTTTATGAACTGTGGGGCCGTAAGCCAGGATGCTCAAATAATATCTGATTTGTGGCAGGGCTATTTCTTTGCTGTTTGGCTGTCTTTTCCTTACGGCTCTATCAGGAGGTTGGTGGAAAGCGTTGCAGGGGAGGCAGTGCTCACTGCAGATGGATCTGTCACACTGCAGGCTGGACGCACAGTTGCTGTGTTGCGTGGTATCACAGGTCCTCAACCAAGGGTTGCTTAAGGAGGCTTGTTGGTTGGTTTTGTTTTTAGTTGGGAGGAGGAGGAAGTAAAGGAGGAATTTATGAGTGAAACTCAAAAGTAACTGTTCAGTTAAGGCACACTTACTGGGCTAACTGGACTAGAATTGACTGCTAGAAATTATATTTATCAATTAGTCTGTAGGAAATCAGTGATTGATTGATTATCTTAACTGCTTGGTGAGTTGGCACACAGATTTCCATTCATTTGAGGCTAGTTATTCCTGTGAAGGTAAACCTTTTGACTGCCTAAAAATCTACATGCAGTTAATACTAATTGTGGAAAATGTTTTCTTTTTGAATATCTGACTTCTGTGTTTGAGCAGTTTTTCTAGAGCTTGGAACTTAAATAGAATGTAGATGTTTGCTTGAAAGAAACTTAATGGAGAGAAAGTTACTGATTGTTAAAAAAAAAAACCCATACTTTTGTGTTTACATATTAATGTTTAATTCTCACAGGGAAAAATATTTCTCTTCTAAATCATATTGTATCTTGCCCAATTATATTTCTAGTTGTTCAAAGAAAGATGTTTTTGCCAGAGTCACTAGGAGTTTTTTCTGTTATACAGTCTGTTATAGTATAATACATTCTTATGGATTAATAATGATTGTATTTATAGAGCACTTTCCATTTTCTCCTACATGCCAAGTGCTTGCAGCACTGGGGAAAAAAAAACCCAAAACTTCTTATTAACTAGAATATCCTCAGCATTGACAAAATCAAGATGATTAAATACAAACTGCCAATAAAGTTATACAAAAATAGCAACTTGAAAGGAAGAGAAGAAAAAGATCTTACTTGCTTTGTTTTAAACTGTAGGAGATAAAAACAGTTTTGCAGGAGAGGAAAAGGGCACCAGTGAGTTCTAAAGTACTGGATCTGCTCCAGCAAAAACACAGTCATTTGCAAACCATAAGAATAATGGTAGAAGGGTATTTAAGTGTAAAATTCTGCTAAGTGAAAGTTCAAAGAGGACACCTAGAATAAAGAAAAGCTAATCTAGGAAGTTAGAAACACATACAAGACTAGTTTAAATTGAATCTTTCCATTCATAACCAACAGCATAGCATAATGAATGCAAAACAAGCTGGATGTGAATGTCATATCTCAAAGCTAAAAATATTCATTCATTCTGCTACATTTTGAATAAACTGCAAGCAGCAAATTAGACAAAGAACCTGGGGGATTAATAAGTAGGAGTTGCTAAAGAGATAAACTACACCAATCATCTAGGTGACATTTTCAAACTTTACCTCTGTAGTTTCCCATAACTGAAGCACTACCAAAAATCACATCCAGATTTTTAACCTGATTCTTAAACACCAAGCAATTAATTTGAGAAGACAGAGCGGATAACCAGCTTGTATCCTCAACGTCATCTGTCAAGCAACATTTCTACCTTTCCAAGATTAAGGATAAAATAAGACATCTGACTGGTGACACTGTCAGGCATTCTTCCAGATCAGCAACTTAACTTACGGGGTCCACATTCTGTGAAATACATAACCAGGTATCATAAGTGTAATCACGGTACTCGTGTTTTAAAGTGACCTGCCTAAGCTATTGTATGCATACAATGAACAAATCAGGGAACAAGCCTGGAGATTGTCTCCTTTTGGAAAAGTTTGTAAAAAAGAGGAAGTACCCATCTAGAAATTGTCTGTATTCTTTAAATCATATACAAAGCAATAAAGTATAGCTACAAAGATAATAGCAACAGATAAAGATTAACTTTATCCCTATAACAGTATGTCATTACAGAAAATATGGTATTCAACTGTATTACCTATATAGTATTTGATATGTATATATGATATTTGAAAAAAATAGCGCCTGAGAATTTCAACTCTAGGTCTAAAGATTTATCTTCCCTGTGTACTGGCAGTGAAATGCTCTTTTTCAAAGGTGTTGAATATGATAAACATGTATTAAGGATTTTCTACATTGACGAAACTCAGGAAAATTGTCTATCAGGCATATCTCTTATGTAGGAATGTCTTTAATTTCTGTTGGTTCTCTTCTGTGTTTGTATTTATCTAGAACACAGCAGATCAAATAGCGTTTAGGGCTGCAGGAGGACTGACTGCCCTTGAAAATGTTCTTCAAGTGGTGACTTCTCCCACCAACCTGAATGCGATTTCACGGATTCCTTTTAAGTAAGTATGATCAGCCCTTCATTTGCCACTTAGAATCGCTAGAATATTTATTTCACATCTGCTGCTTCACTGCTGCTTCTTCTCATAGTCCAGTGTTGAACTTCAAAGAAAAAAATCAAGCTGAACGCAATGCTGCCATGGAAGGTGGAAGATTTCCACTCAACCTCTGGTTTTCTAACTTGGTGATTTTAGCTATGATATATTTGGGCAGTGGCATCCCTAATTGTACAAAATGAGAAAACTGTATTAAACAGAAGAGGAGGGTACATATCTTTTGAAGTTAGTCTGTAAAGATCTGTAGTGGGAAGTGGGGGAATTTTTTAAAGGGTTGTAATTCACTGGAGCCTGACTGCTCTTAAAATGAAACAGTTGTAAGATACAGCTAGCTGAAAGGGCTTCTACAAACAGGTAAATCAAAATTCTTGTGGATTAGAGGAATTCCTCTTTATAGCACATAAGACTAGAAGGGTTTAAATGTCTAATCCCTGAAAAAAAAGGTGTTGACTAAACAGAATGCCTGCAAAACCTGATAACTCAAAAGCATGCTTTTTCCCCTAATCTCTTAACTGTAGTTTTTATTCATTCAAAAGTACATATGTGCCTTCAGAACAGAGCTAGGCATGGTTTTAGTGCAAGAGGAACCATGCCCAGGATATCCTGTTGTGTACCATTGTCATCAATTGTAGATATATTTTAATATTGTAATAATTGGAATTTAAGCACTACATTGTGAGGGTTTGGATTAAAACTGTCCATTAATATATTATGGGACAGATGTGAAGTGCTAGGAAAGAACACTCAGGAAAAAAACATGCTTTTAGTATCTTAACTTCAAAGAGAATAAAATTCCTATCTTCCCACTAAGTCATGCAGAATGCATTTGCTGCAAGTCCAGCCACCTCCGTGAATGAGCAATCGTGAATTGATCCTATGGTGAGCAGAATGTGCATCTTCTATACATCTTTTTCTTCTTTCATTTTAGGCATAGTCCCAGTTTGGCAACCTTTGTTGAGAAAGTTTAAGAATATTGTGTTACTGAAACCATTTGTTTGAAGTTTGTTAAGACAGTATGAGGTTGTATTAGTTCTCAAAGGAACTTACGTGCTGGTAAATAAAGCCCCATGTCAGCATCATCTGTTTAGCAGAAAAAACATCCAAATAAATTTATCAGAGGTTCTCCTCTCTATGACAGTTACTGTCTATCTCATTCCTATTTCAGACCAGTATAACTAGTTTCTCAGATTCTTGAGCCTATTCATGACTGAATTATATAAAGAATTTTTAAACCTTTGAAAAATTCTTTAAACATTGTTTTATTAACACAAGTTTTCAGCTATCTGTATTTCCAAAAGAACTATCAAGGCAGAAAAGAGGTTAATACAAACTATCTGACAGCTTTGTACATTAAGAAATCTACTGAAGAACTTAGCTCTGCTACTGAAATATAGTGTTTCATTCAACTTTACAGCAAATTGCAATCTCTGGTTTATAGGCATCTGAAAGTATTGTAGTTCGGAAGTTGTACATCAGTTTGCATGTAATTTAACAGGATCTTGCTTTCTAAAGCTAACTACTCTTGCAGTTTTTTTCTACAAGAGTCTAACTGCTTGAGTCTGACTTACAGAGTCTGGAGTCTGCTAGAAGTGTCACAGTGAACTTGGTGTTGCTGCATGGGATGTAGAGCCTCCTCTATTGTTACTTCTGTGGTCTTCTTTCTGATAGAGAAGAACGTGTTTTGTGCAGAAATCTGCAACTCGACTGTCAAGAGCAAGCAATAGTTCCAGAGGGTGGGACTTTCTATGAGCAGTTTGAAACAGGCACAAACGTGGCTGGATTAGAGAAACCATGTTAATGCTCATTAGTATGGTCTCGCTGAAAGTATTTAAGAAATTCTTCAAATGTGTTGCTTTAAATACAGAATGTTTGAGAGAGTTTCAAAACCAAAGTATAACCATAGAACATATTTAGTTCTTTAAATGAGGAAGAAAATTTGTACTGTGTTTCTCCTCATTTAATTTTTGAAATTAGTTTGAAATTATTTTTTTCTTTTGTGCAAATATAATTTATATCCTGACTCCTTAAACTTTGAATCTAGCAGAGCAGCAGTTTTTTCTGTTTAAAGACGAAACAAAGCCCTGTAGAAGGAAGTTGAATTAAGACCTTTGATCAATTGCCCTCCAGTCTTCCCGTAGCCAAATACGCTTTGCTAAAGGACACTACTGTACTCAAGATTGTTTGTGTGCTCTTGCAATGTTTAACCATTTGTACTCATCTTAAATTGGGAATTTGTCTGTTGTTTTGTGATGAGGATAAGCTATTTACAAGTAGGTGAGGAGATTACATGGGCTATTATCTACATCTCTCTTTCTCCAAAATCCTGGCGGTATGGTGCAGCTCAGAACTTTAATCCCATGTCTACAAGATAAAGCTTTATCATCAGAAGATTTAACAATATGCCTGTTGTTTTGTACTACTGTCCAGATTGGTAGTTAGACCAGCAGGATGGCAAATGCTGTGAAAAAGATGTGACATTTATGAGAAGGATGATACATTTGGTGTTGGGGCAATTTTTCTCCCCTTCAAATAAATCACTGAAAAAGGAAAAGAGAAAGCAGTGGATTATAGTAAGTTTTATTATTGGTGTTAACATACAAATTATTGTCCAGCCACGTTATTTCTTAGAGTAGCATTTTGTAATTTTCCTGAATTTGTTCAGTTCTCCACAAAATAAGACCTATTCAGCAGAATTTCAAGAGGTTTCAGAGTCTTACAGTATTTTTCTTATGCTTCTACTGAAAAGCAAATGGGAGCTGCACAGCAAAACAATTTAATGACTTAAGACCAGAAGATGAGTCTTATCCCCTGCGTTGCCTCGCATATTTGCTATGGACAACTCATTTAGCCCTTTTGTGCCATGACATGTTACTGACCTTGAAAGTTGTGATCAATCTACTAACAAATGGCGTTTGTAGGGTTTGTTTAATTAACATTTGTGAAATATTTTGAGTTCCTTGGGTGACAAGCATTTTTAAATAGAAATTAGCAGTAGTTATATTAAGGAACAAAGGAGGACTTTTGTTACAAATTAAGACATGATTAAAGTCTGTTTTATTATAATGTGTCTTCTCTATTTGTACAATTTCTTGCATCATTTATTTAAAGCGAGTATTACCAAGGTAAAAAAGCTCGAACCATAATTATTTACATAAAAGGCAGAAAATGGTGCCCGCATAATATTATGGATGGCATTGATATAAATTACTCTTTTCAGTAAGAACTATTTTGAGCTGAGAACTGTTTTTGTAGCTTGTTCTTTGTAATTTTTACTTGGTTTTATGAGCATAAATTTCTTAAGCTGCGCTGTTTCTGTTCATGCAGTTCTATAGGATTGTTCACAAATTTTTTTACGTAAAGTGCAAAACAAGCTTTCTGATTTTCTTGTAAAGATTATTCCCTCTAGAGGAGCATTCTTTGAAAGCTAGCAGTTGGTACAAGGACATAAAGGTACTCTAAAGAGAATGACAAATGTCAAGTTCAATATCTGAAACCTGTGGCATCTGTCTCTTTCCACGATGTATTCTTGCTGTCTGTCTCAGAGCTGGATTTCAAGCTCTCAGAGCTCAATGATAAAGCAATGTTGCCCTCCCATGCAATACAGGAACAAGTTTTATTGTTGAAAGGAGCTCTGTGAAATATTACGAAAATTTTGGATTGAGAGTCAGGTCTTGCAATGAAACAATTGATCAGCCAGCGACTGGAGAATTTCTGTAGAAGACTTTCAAATTCCATCACACCTGTAAATGTTGGGGTGAATTAATTGTTTGTCGCTTGTCATGCAATAGTTTATTCATAAGTACAGTAACATTTCAGAATGAAACTCCGATCTGTTTTTGGAAGTATCTTGAAGGAGAATTGATGCTGAGTTTTGTCTTCTCTCTATTAACTGAGACTAGACTTCAGCTGGAGCTCATTTTTTAATTGGATGTCCTTAAATAATGTAAAACACAGACAAAATAGTAGTTGGTTATGAATCTTTGAGGATTCCTGATTGTGTAATAGGCCCCTGAGTGAAGTATAAGGGCCTGTATAGTCTTCAAGAGTTAAAATTGCTATTTTTACCTTAAAATCAATTTTTTGTTGTTTCAGTCCACATTCTTACCTTGGTGGTTCCTGAACCATTCCACTCTACAGGCATTCTATGCACCATTTTTCAGTAATAGCTCACCTGCCACTTCTTCTCAACTCAGCTTTTAAATACCAATACTGATTGCTTTCCCCAACAGAGTGCTGCATAAATACTCAAACTGGTTAAAAATAAACTGTTCACTACTGAATTGAGATGTCCTAAATTTGATAATGTTTAGTTTTGTATTATTTCACTGCCAAATTGAGCTTTTTGGTTATTTTCTTCATTGATAATCAAAGTATATTCATTTATAATCTTCAGAAGTTGAAAGTAATGTGAAAAAGCTTTACACTTGAAACAGGTTAGTTATTATATGTTGATTATGCCCTGATTTTTATAAAGGAAAAGTTGTGAGTTCTTGCCTACATTTCCTGCTGCACTATGGTGTATTAGTTTTGCGTGGTTGGATACTGTTGCTGCCTCAGTGTTTTGAATAAAAGTTACAGTTTGTCAACTTGTTTATATCAGGCAAGTGAGGAAAGTGAAGATGTGCTGGCATAAAAGAAATTCACGTACATACATACAAACTGTTGAGATCTAGCTTGAAAATGTTGATTAAAATGAATCCTCTTCCTATTTCTTTGTACTCATGTAAAATAAATATACAGATGCATGTTTTTGTCTAGTTTAAAGACAGATTTCTTTTTTGGATCAAAGTTTGTGTACCATAATGAGTGTTTTTATAATTGGATTTACTCTAGAGGAAAGCCTTACATCAGAGGGCAGACTTATTGCATGGTTTGAGTATACATGCTGTCTAACATAGCTTTAAAGCTGATTTGCGGGTGTGATACAAAGTTTAGAGCAACATCACTAATCAATAAACAGCTGCTTTATGTGAGGCTCCTACTTTACTATTTCAACTGATTTTGATATCTCTTGAGGTAAAAGTTTTGGAATTAAAAGTAGTTAGAGCTTCCAACAGGGGAAAAAAAGAAATTTATTGAGTTTTTCACCCCAGAGAGTTTAACTGGTGGTTAAGTGTCTCTCTCACGTGACATTCACAGCACTGCGCTTGTCTTGGAGGCCTTGTGCAGAAATGGTGACAGTTGACAGCTGTTGTTCCTGTAATAAGATTAAAGTAAAGAAATTAGTTGTGCTGTCTTTAATCTGCCATTTAACACTGCGAACCACCTGGGGATGGCTTCTGTGCTGACACTTCTAATTTTGAATTAAAAAAAAAATTGTGGAACTGAATCATAGTTCAGAACATGCTGTGATTAGCATGCATTTAGACGAACCATAGTTAGCAAGCTTATATTATCAATTAAAAGAACTCTCTTTATTGTTGTAAAAATTTAATTCGACATCCATTTGCTTACACCACCTTTTCAAATTCATTATTTGAGTCTCTGAAAAAGCAAGTACTTTTTCTGACATGAGAATCAGTTGGGAAATGCAAAAGCATGATGCATTATTACAGTGGAATTGCTTCTATATATAAAGTGAGAAATTTTTGTGTTTTCAAATGTAAAATAAACTATTCTCTTAGGAATTAGGAATCCCATATATCAAAAAACATGATTGCAGTGAATTAACTAAATCACCTCAGAAACTCAGAAATACTGTCAAAATTATAAGTTAACCTACCAAGTTCATGTTCGACACTTTGGGTAAATTATAATGTTTATATTTAAATAGAATTAATCTTTATTTTAGAATAGGTGATAAAATGACGGATGCTTATTTAAAGCATCATCTTCTCAAATGAAAATAGAAACTACCAATATAGTTTCCCCTCTCTCTCTCTCTGTGTCTCTCTCACAACACACCTACACAAGGGAATAATCTTCCATGAAAAGTAAAAGTAGGTGCCTAATGAAAATTTTTTTCAGCATTACTGAGGAAAGTGAAATAAATACCTTTATATAGTCAGGATAGGAAAAGATAATCCTGTTGCAAGGCAGGTTTTAATAAATGCACATGAAGCATGCTACTTGAATTTTGTATAGGTGTTATCCTTTTAGGGTAAGAATTAGATGAATAGGTGAAAATTAACCTGCCTTTGATCAATAAATAATGATTTAATATTGTTTTCATGTCATGTGAACTGGAGATTGAAACTGATTTAATTAGGCAGTAAAGTAAAATTAATTACCAGTACAGTAAAATTAATATAACTGGTAATATGGTGATACTCAGAATATTAACAAAGGAAAGGTATAAATGTTCTTCATGTTTTTACAGATCAAACCAAGCAAGATAATGCTTCTTTTTTAGATTTAAAATTATTTCTCCAGCTGAAGAAAAGACAATCCAGAAATACAAATGAAAAAAATTTTATTCTAAATTTTCTGGCCTTTGAGCATTTCCAGATTTTCTTGGCTTGAGAAATACAATGTATGTACATAAGATGCTTCAATTTCAACTCTGGAGAGCCATGCTAAGTAATTAGATGCCTCAGCAAGGAGCACAGCAATCAGTAAAGCAGCTTTCCTTATTATGTAAATAACTTTGGTGTTTCAAAAAATATTTTAGGAGAAAAATAAAGCATAAAACTGGCCTCTCTCTTTATAAGTATGTTGAATTAGTCTGCAGCTTGTTATGTTAAAATACTAGCTTTGATGACTTCTCTACAATAACTTGCTGTTTGTTGCAGTCCCACTTTTGTATGACCTTTTGACAGTGCTCACAATTTATTTCTTCTATGAAGAACTTTCTTATTTGAACTTAGTCACATTTTTTCACATGTTAAAAAAACGCAACAGAGTAAAAGTTCTTTTCCTTTTGGTTTACTTTAGACAAACAACTTGAATTTCTAGCCATCTTATTTTTATTATTGTATATATTTGTGATGCATTTGTGTTGTGTCTGTGTGCATATTTGTACAGTAACAGTGATAGCTTTTGTAGTAAGCAAAGGTTCAAGAAATGAATTTTGTGTTTATTCTGAAATAGTATTATCCGTAGTCAGATTTATCTTCTCTGTGAGTATATTCTATAGGACTGGTCCCAGCTTCCCTGCCAGTCCTGTTTTGAGAACACCACTTTAATTGGAGCAGATGAGAAATACTGCACATGATGGAAAGAATAACTGGGCATGCTTTGTGCATCTGGAGCTTTCTGGTGACTCGTTGTGCTTACGATTTTCTGGTTTTGCCATTGCAAACTTGTTACCTTTTCCCACCAGCCGTAGGTGTAGGTCAGTTGGTCCTATTGTGGTTATACACTAATGCTTAAAGGCTCTGTACAGTAGTGGTTCACAATATGTCAGTAGAATTTTTTGGACAGGAATTTCACCTGCTCGGTTTTGCTTGCTCAGTACAAATTACCCTGTCTTCTCCATTCCTTGCATTAGTTTGCAGGTGCTACACAATAGCTTGTCTCTAAAGCTGGTCCCGGTATGCTGTGAATTACTGTGAATTCCTTCATGCAGGTTTTTTTTTCTTGAAGATCATGCTAGGAAAGGAACCTTATATTCAAATTACTTGTGTGATACAACTATAAGCCACAAGAAAAGAATATTACATATCCAGATTATTAAAATAGCTGATATTCTGTATAAGTTTTGTTACTTTTGAATACGGAAGAGTCCAGTAGCCGTACAGTACATGACTTCTGATAGGTATGGCTTTAATGTTTTGAAGTTATTAAGTAATTAATTGATTTCATGTAAATGTTTTGTTCTGTTTTTAATCTCAAGTTTAAGAAAATTAATGTGAATTGCTGAAAGGTCGTTTTGTGATGTGCTTCCATTTATTTGCTTTTAATTTACTAAAGAAAAAAGTAAAATTCGTATTTTTCTTTTTCTTCTGATTTTTAGGTCACTCTGCAATACAGTAAATGCTTACAGCCTCACCTGCAGTAATTGTGCAGAAAACTGCACCTATGTTCTTTTTAGTAATAAGATCACTTTTCTAATGGACCTGTTGGTACACCAGTTTACGGTATGTAAAATACCTATTTTAATTTAGAAATTTTTGTATGCTTCACAAACATGTTAGAGTATTTACAGTATAAGGACACCAGGAGATATATGAGAATAAAGGCTCAAAAGAATAAGATTGTTTTGTTTTATGTATTTTGTAGCTGTATCTACTGTACTTCTATACAAACAGATATACTTGCTTCTGCTAATAAATTCTGCAAAAGCATACGTACCGGGAACTCTAGTGAGTGGGCAGTATTCTATCCTTAACATCTTCTGAGAATTTCTTCTTTAATTCACCCTATAGGAATATTTAAAGTATAGAATATTATGAGTTGACCATGTGTGTTTGATTCTTATGTGTTTCAATATTGGGAATATAAGTCAGGTCAATATGTTATTGTAGTTTGATTTGCTGAAATGTGTAAGTAGCAGGACTCTTTAACTGTGAAAGTTTTAATTTTCAAATGTTTCATTTAATTTGAAATGTCATTAAATATTTTATTTGAAATCTCATTTTTAATTCATAGTGACCTGCTCATCATAAGATATTTAGTCTTGGTTTTCTACTTATAAATTGTGTGTATGTGTTTTCATGAGCCAAGCAGTTTGTTAATTGAAAAGTTATGTACATACTTTAAATAATTTAAATGACGCTGTTATAGCCATAGGACTGTTGACGAACACTTTAAAAAGATAGTCCGAAGGTCCTTGACACAAAGGAAACTGGAATGCAACCTGTGCATTCTCCTCTAAGTAGCTGCCAGCTCATTGTGCTTCACCAAATCTTTCCAAGAGGATTCCAGGTATTAGATTTCAAATATACTTAGTGAAAGGTGCATGTATTGTGCTAGGCCAGTCACAACACTGCTGGCTCTCTGCAGAGCGAGCCAGAGCACAGGCTGCGTGGGTAATTACACAAGAGATGAAATCCTTCAGCACTTTACAAGTGACAAGATTCATTCTGATGCCAAACACCTTCCCTTTTCTCAGTGTAGCACTGTGCAAACAACGTGCACTTTTCCTGAAGAAATACAGAGGGTATTTCTTAGAAAATGTTGGCCACCTAGAGATCAGAGATACTACATAAGAAAAATTTGCTATGCTTAGAACCGTTTTCAGACTGTTGCCAAATACTACCCTTGAATTGCAGCAAAACTGTAATTAAAGCCTAATGTTTCCCATGATCCACAGTGGGCTTTTCTTTCCTATGCATAAAGTCTCTTATGTTCTCTTCAGGCAAAATTGGCCCTTAAACTAGGATATCTTCATAGTTCCATGAAGTACATATTTAAGTACAAAAAAGTAAATACAGTGCTGCTTTTCTAACCCTGATTTTTCTCCCTTGAAAATACAATAAATCAGATCAAGTTTGAATTTTTCTTTTTTACAAAAAAGAAATGGACAAATCGAGAGCACTTTTTTTAGTTGCATCAAGCTCTGGATGCCAGAATATTAAAAGATGTCCCTCCAAAGAATTTAACTGCCTCCTGTATTCCTAGTTTGGTGAGCTGTACGATGCTGCCTTTGCCTGTGTTTTGTGTATTTCCACTTAATGTTGGAAAATAAACCCCAAGTAATACCAGGAGTAATAAATGAGAACATGTATTTGCAAGGTTTTAACAAATTGTTAAACAAGTATGCCAGTATTTGCTTAATACAGAAACAATCCGGTTTTAAGAAACCTTTAAATATATTCTTGAATACAGCCAGTATGAAGCTTGCTTCCAACCAATTTAATGTGGTTTTAGTTTTGGTTTTATTCGTCAGTCAAATGCAATGTCAGCTTCACTTTTGCTAAAACTCAGAGCTATAAATTTTAAAGAATAAAATTTAAAACAATCACTCTCATTGGTGACAAAATGTTCATTTTCTTTGCATAGGTGTAACATTTTTCTCCTCAAAATATTACTTGAAGAATTATAAAACTACAAAAATATTTTTTCTTCGATGAAAGCTTGGGTACTAATGGGAAATAGTAGAATAACAAATGGACTGTATTTCTTATTTTTTCGTGACACCCAGCCTGCCCAAGTTAATTGTTAGTAGTGTCCTGTTTAGACCTTCCTTTATCTCATACCTAAACAGACTGGTAGGAAACCTTCTGTAGACTTGACTTACATTTTACCTTTCTTAGCCTCCTTAGCTCAGGTACTGCCTAAGTTGGTGTTTGTTGAGGTCAGTAGTAGTGTGTTTCCTGATTTCAGTGGTTAGTGGATTAAACGTTCCCACCTACATTCACAGAAGTCTTGTGCTCCAGCTGTAACTTCATTTGTTGACAGGCCACTGTCTGTGCTCTTCTTTGTCTACTGTACCTAGAAGATGGTTGCAAACTAATAAGAACTTTTCTAATTATATATTTTGGAAGGTTTCACACTGAGAGAAACAAATAATTACGTGGGGCTGTAAGCATGTAAGGATAGTTTTTTATTTTGGTTTGGAGTATTTGTTTTTTTTTTTCCTAGTCAAGTGACAGCTGTCATGTACTTTTCCATGAAGATATCTGAAAAAGCCATATATACAAACCATACATATCTGTGCCTGCATTTGTAAATAATTTTATGTTTAGTAAACAGATTGGGGTTTTTTAAATATCTATCCTTTTATGATTTCATGATAAGAAAAGTATTGACAGTTTGTTTTCTACCTATGTATGTTCTCAGACAGATCAAAGGGAAATTTCAAAAAGCTTTTGAGAGTAACAAACTGGACGAGACCACCATGTCCAGTAAAAATCCTTAGAAGATTTTGTTCTTTCATTCAGATCTTTCCCACCATAGCATACCTGCTGTTACCAGTTAAAGCATAATGCAAATCCATACTCATTAAGAATTAGAAATTGAGACATTTTTATTGTTATATTTCTTTGTTCACATAAATATGCAAAATTACATGGATTCTTTCTTGCTTCATTTTTGAATTGCATACTACATGGAGTTGCAAATGACTGGCTTGAGATGTGCATAGCAGTGACTTTCATTTATTCATGGGCATTGTTGCTAATATCCTGCACATGCAATAAAATTTTTAGACTGTTTTTCTTTCTGTTTAAGTGTAATTGCTAAAGGCTAGAATCAGATTAATTTTATTCCTTTAAGTAGATATGTAAACATGTAACACATAGGCTTGATTTCAGAAGCGAAAAGCAAACAAAAAAAAGTCTTGCCAATTGCTCTCTAGCAGTCTGACTTTCCAGAGCTGGTTGCCATTTACGGCTCTGGTTAAAATTTTGAAAAGTTCAAATTGGATTGTGCGCTGGTTTTGGCTGGGATAGAGTTAATTCTTCACGGTAGCTAGTATGGGACTATGTTTTGGATTTGTGCTGGAAACAGTGTTGATAATAGAGATGTTTTCCTTACTGCTGAGCAGGGCTTACACAGAGTCCAGGCCTTTTCTTCTCACTCCGCCCCACCAGCGAGGAGGCTGGGGGTGCACAAGAAGTTGGGAGGGGACACAGCTGGGACAGCTGACCCCAACGACCAAGGGGATATTACGTACCGTATGACGTCATGCTCAGCAGTAAAACCAGGGGGGAGGTTGGCGGGGGGGCTGCTGCTTGGGCACTGGCTGGGCATTGGTGGGTTGGCGGTGAGCAACTGTTTTCATTTGCATCACTTGTCTATCTTGGGTTTTATTTCTCTCTTTTTGTTATTTTCCTTTTCCTTACAATTATTATTATTGCTTTTTTAAATTTTATTTCAATTATTGAATGTTTTTATCTGAACTCATGAGTTTTCTTACTTTTATGGTTCCAGTTCTCTTCCCTCCATCCTCTTGGCGGGGAGTGAGTGAGTGGTTACGTGGTAGTTAGTTGCTGGTTGGGGTTAAACCACGACAGATAACTATGACTTTTTTTTTTAAAGGTAATATTTAAATGCATAATATCTGAAAATTCGAAGTAAAACATCATTAGTGAACGTAAAAATATGTGAAATGAACATTGCAATTTAAGTAGAGATCAAACAAATGTGGAGATCAAGAGTGAGTTGCTTGTTACTTTTTTCTTCTCCAAAATACAGTGCTTAAATCTGGACTGTATTGTTGCTAAATGGCCTGTGAAATTTTACTCATGAAGTACAATCACTTTGACTGGATTTAAGTTAATCTGGCTATCTAGTTGCAGTGAAGTAATTTTTCTCCACCATTTCTTCACTGGAATGTGCTGCCATTTAATTTGGGTGCTTCAAAATGACAGTACACATCCTATTGCAGTTGCTAGCTTCTTAACCATTTGTGGTCAGTTTTTTAATCTTCTGTACTGCAACAAGTAAGGCAGCTTCATGTTTGCACTGATTATGATAAGAATTGTAAAATCAAAGGTACATACATGCTTCTTGGCTGTTCTGGTCCATTTTGAAATTACATTCTGTCTCCATAATATTCAGCTGATATATTGTGGCACCGACAGTACTCCTAGCCCCTAATAACGAGACAGTGTGGTGAGTTTCTACCTTTCAGATCACCAAGAGATCTAAAAAACCTGCTCTCCCTCTGGTTTTGGTTCTAGTCGGAGACTTGAGGACCAGCACCTAGAAGTATCAAGGTTCGCAAAAAAAGTGCCTTAGTTGTCAGCTCTGTGGATCAAGTAATTTCTAATGCAATTCAATCAGTGTTGGCAATGTAAGAAAGCACAGAAAGTTCATGTCTTTTTAATAATGTAACTTTTAAAAGACCAAACATTTTCTTTATTTGCTGCAGTGGGAAGCCAGTGTGTTAATCCTGTAGCAAATCTTGAAAATAGGGCTGGGGTCAGAGAAATGATGACATATTAAAGTATTCAGGAGTAGGGGATTTAAAAAGGGGAACCTTTGTCTGCACCATCTTAAGCCCACAGACTTCCTGGGCCATTTCCATTTCTTTAGTTCACTAGTTACTACATAGAAGGTCTGACATCCTATAGATACTGTTTTGAAGGTATACATTTTCCAGCGTGTTTTTGAGGCAAGCCCAATGACTTAAATGTGCAAAATGCACAAGATCACCACTGTTAATGGGAGAAGAATACAACATAAGTGACCAAATGAACAGAAATTGGGTGCTTCAAAAGGTTTGAAGACTTTCCATTTAAGTTTAGCAGCTCTGTATTTAAAATTCTTCATGGCTGTGAAGGATTATGCTTTTTATGAGACAAATAAAAACATAAATGAATTTTCAGTGGCAGAGATCTGTGTTGCTAACCGGAAACTGTGTGGGGTTTTTTGGTTTGTTTTTTTGTTAGCACAGGAAAAAAAAGTGCTCTGATATCAGAGGTACTTTTGGTGACATGAGTCAGAATAGAGTAACATTTTCAGCTATATTAAATGTGTGCCTAAGTGCTTTACTGGATTGGGGCCATATTGTTCAGCATCTTGCAGGATTAAGTCCTAGATGCTGGACAGAACTGAAGAGCTTATGGCAGGGCTGCGCAAGCAAGGGAATCCCTCCACAAGGGGAATTCTCTGCTGAATGGCTTAACAGTTGTGTGGTGACTGTACCAGAGCTAAGAATCTGGTCGTCAGAGCATTCTGGTTCAAGAGCTGATTTAAAGAAAGTAGGAGTCTTGATTAGGTCCAGCATAGGCAGTCATCATAAACGCTAGAATAGCCATGAGATGTTGGATATGCCAAATAATTGAACAATAGTTACATTTTTCCTGATTTTCCTTTGTGATTTAAAAATATTTTCTACCAATTACTTGACAAGTCAGTTTAAGTATGTAATTGTACCTATGGATTTGTGTCAGTTAAACTGTTAAACCTATTACACCTCAGAAATAAAAATGTGTAATGTTTTAACGTTTACTCGTCCAAAGACCACATTCAACAAACGTTCTCTGAATATCATTACCTCCTTGTCTAATGAACACAAAGAAACCAGAGTTCAAAAGCTTTCATAATTACACTATTAAATCTTAAGATTTCCTACCCTCTTGCTTGATACAATAATCAACAAGCAAAATAAGACATCACGTTTGCAAGTACCCCAATTAATTTTGAACATAAATCTCAACACATTTTCACGCTATCCTGATAATTACTTCTTCGGTAAAAGAGCTGATCTTTTGTCACTCATTTGAGTTCACATAAATGGAAAATGTTAAAGGTAGGAATTAAGTTCAATTTTACCCATTTTCTGTAAAAGAGTATTTCCTTCTACTCCTCTTTGACACACACAGTGTAAAACCCCACATTTGTTCTCAATTTGTATTAATACACACACACACTTTCTGCAAAAATCAAATGTGAAAAATCAGCTCTGCAGTAAATGATAGTATTAAGAGTGCTAGATCTATTTATTTTACAAATTAGGAAGAATGGTTTTATATTAAAACATGAACTGGTGTAGCCAAGGGCTAGATACTTAGAAAATACAGTTCTCATATGTACATTCAACTAGAAGACAAAGATAGACATTATCTGTTTATAGTACTGTTCATGACAGCAAATAGAAGGCTCTACTGCAAAATATTATTTAAATCTTTTAAGAAATAAGTTATGTAAAATTTTTTTCTTAGGTGAAGAAGCAGTGAGTAGCATTTGTTAGCAATTTTTAAAACTTGGTGTTCCTAGTACAAAGTCACCACATTTAAATTGATTTATACACTGCAAAGCTTAATCCATCTGTTTCAGTAGGCAATTAGAATCATTAGACATGAATTATTTTAGTCAACAGAAGTTACTGGAGCAACATAATAGTATTTTTCCTATTGAACTTGAATAAGCAGCTAAAGACGTTCTCACTTGCTCATTTGGCTCGTCACCAGCAGCAGACTATTACAATGAGTTTTAAGTACCAACACAAGGCTCAGAGCTAATGAATAATAAAGAAATGTGCATGTTGTTCTTTGTCACCAAGTGTTACCAAATCCCTCCTGATACCTATACAGGGAGGAATGATTTTCTGTGACCTCACTTGCGTATACCAAGTGTAAATTATTTTAACCTGGAATGAAAATAAAATTTCGGCCAATATTGATCACTGAAAACATCACAGTGTTGAAAGCCTCAGGCTGTCTCATAAAAGTGCCTCCACAGAGGTCTGTTGGTGCATGGAGTCCAGCAGCATTAAGCACAGTGAATGTACGAGGAGCCCCGTGTCTTGTTTGATGCATCTGTGCTGCCAATATTCTGCCTGTAAAACTGCAGGACTTCCACACAGTCTTCACTTTACTGTTTGATTATAACAGGGCAGAATTTCAGCTGGTTTAAATTATCTCGGACTGCAGAAATGAAAAACAAACAAACAAAATTTTATTCTCCATGAGGATTTCCTTCCAGATCTATATCCTGCATATAGATTTGTCTTCAGATTTACGTGTTGTACATCTCAACTTTACTGCCTTTTTTAGGAGTGGGCTGTAGTTTAATGATTTAGAAGAATGGGATTCTGTTCCTCTGAGGTCTTTCAGAGAGAACTGCATGTTGTGATTCTAACATGATTGACAAGTGACTGACATCTGATGCACGAGTGTAGTGGTCATCAGATGATATTTTATATTGAGATGTTCAGACCTTAGTTATGGAACATGTTTTTTCCTGCTGTCATTAATATGTAGGTATCCATAAAAGTGCTCAGACTTTCTCCATGCCTAATTTGAGATTTGTGGGTGGAAAGCATTTCTCGTTGCATTTTTTAGAACCATAGTATTCCTGTCGTCCTTTACAATATTGTAGTATGACAGGTTGTGCCCTAGAATTTGTGCAATTTTTCTGTCTTCTCAGATAGCTCCTTAGTTGGTTTTTGGGTTGGTTGGTTGGTTTGGGGTTTTTTTTTTGCGGGGGGGAAGGGTTGGGTTCTTCTCATCAGATTTGATCAGTAAAGTGTGGTTTTTTGGTTGTTTGGTGGTTTTTTTAATATACCTCCTTCCCTCCCTAGGAGAAATTTCTACTTCAACTGCCTTTCACTTTTTACAAAATCGAGACTCTCCTCATTTTTGTAGACTTTGGAAGAAGTAGCAGTTCTCTTTCTTTTTGAAAAAAAGATGGATGAGAGAAATGTGAATCAAAGAAAGATTTGGAGCCTTGCATTAAGGGTCTTACTGCCTTTGAGGAGTACTTAGCTCTTTGAAATACTTAGCTACTTTGGGTTGGCTTTAGTAGTAAACTGCTCGACTGAGAAGTTTTGAAACTTATTAGGAAAAGATAATTCTCTTGCAGGCTTTTTCAGGTGTGAAGGGGAACCACTGTAATTCATCTGTCTCAATTCAGTGAAGGTTGCCCTCTTTCGCTGGCTTAGAACAGCTGTGTATTACCCTCTTTGTGTACCTCAGCAGGTAATATAATTTGTTCTGAATTCAGTTATGCAGAAACTCAGCAGTACAACTGAGTACCTCATTGTAGATTGGAAAAATGTTGTATTTTCCAATGTCCTTTGCTGGTGTTGCCAGACGGCACCTTCTGTGGCCTTCCCGTGGATGTGTAAACTACTGCTCAGATACTCTGGTGTGCTGTTTCCTACAGGCAAACTAGTACTGTTCCAGATACAATTTTTTTTTTTTCGTAAGTTATGTTTGAGTTTTATCACAATCCATCTCACTTTTTTTGGTAAAAAAACCCTCTAATTGTTCTAATACTAAAATTCCACATAAAATACTTTGGAAGGATGCTTACTTTAGGATATTTTTGTAATTTTTTGTTTGTGGGTGATTTATTTTTTTTTTGCTATGAAGGAGAAAGTGCATCGGGAATCAGATCTCCTTGCGAAGATCATTCATCTTGCCTGCAAAGTGTATTGTCTTTTTCTGTGAAGAGCCACAATTGTACCTGCTGTGTCACAAGAACTTTTGCCTTTCAAAGTACTCACTTTTATAGGGTGTTTGTTTAGGACTAAAACTGTGGGGTAGCCTTCTGATGGAATATTGTGTTTTTCCAAAGTCAAGTAGGGAAATACCATACAACGGTAAATGCTATTCCTTCCACAGATGACAGCTATTTTTCCTCTATACTACTGAGCGCTTTGTGTATCCTAGATATTTAATATGGCTTTGTGGTAACACAATGTAATAGTCAAAATGAACCATCTCAGTAGTTTGTTTATTTGCAGTCAAGTTGAAAAAAAAATTTTTTTTGCTGATGACTCATCAGAAATCCTGTGTATGCATAAGAACATAATCATACTAATGAAATACTCTGCTGCTGTAAGGCTTCCTTCAGTTCTCATACACTAAACTCTGCTTTTACTTGATTTATTCTGTTTCAGCTTTTATTGTCTTCATAAGGGGTATAGACCTTTTCTTGTACCCGAAGTACTTTAATGTCCATCAGCACTGCTAGAATATGTTACTTTATTATTATTTTTGGTGTACTCATATGCAACTTTTTACACGTTTCTCTACAAGCTTTGATTATTTTTACTGAATTCTGGTTGGTTTGTTTTTGGTTTTTTTTTGTTTGTTTTTTTTTTTTCTCTTAGGTTAGTGTTCCAGATGACCATAATGCTACTTCAGGCAGAAGTGCAAATAAGCAGGTATTTGAAGGTTTAACGACAGGACTTCTGAGGATAACTGCTGTGATTTTTAGATGTCTAATCTCCAGCTTCCCAGATGGAAACAACCACTCTACTGCACTGAAGATCTTACAGGAAGTGAAAAGTAAATCCTCACAAGTGGAAGCTTTCAACAGCAGAGTCCAAGACTTAATCAGGTTAAAAAAAAAAACCAAACCCAAAAAACCCCACAAACTTCTCTAAACCTTCTTTACTACAGAGAAAGAAAATTGCAATGATTTAAGAAAGGAACAAACTGCTTTAACTCTTAACTTAGTATTTTGTGTGTGTAGTCAACAAGACTATTGAAATGCAACATTCTCAAACAAAAATTCTTCAAAAAACTGCCGACACAGAAATACAGAAAACCAAGAATCTTTTAATTTTTGACTTGGTTTTTTGTGTTCTTTCCGTCCGTTTCATCTCCTAATTACCTGGGAGTCAGCTTCCATATTTTCATTATTTTCTAGCAGTTCTCTATGCCAGCTGTGTATGCCCATAGCCCGGGTGGTCCTGATTGTCATGTTTGCATTCATATAAGCTTGCCATGAAATATATACTTCCTATTATAAAGATTACCCAATAATTCTTACAATCTGATTTCAACCTTTATAATGTAGCTGTATTTTAATAGCAACTTTCTAAGTATATTTCTTGAGCAAAATTTCAATCAAAATACCTCAGTGAGTTGTAACAATCGAGTAAAAGAGAACATGTTGTTTTTCTCATTTTTACTTGAAACATTCTAATTCTTTGGTAAAAACACTTGAACCTGAATATATTT